TCATCATTCATTCCATTTTGGAACTGCTAATTTCAGATGTGATGATTTAGCTCACTGTGTCAGACTGCAAGAGACCAGGAATTACCCAGCAGTGGGCACTTAGCTGAGACCATGGCTCATGTAATTAGAATGTTAGCACTGTTGATGGGAATATTTACTATTGCTCTAAATAGTAAATCATAAATGTTGAATTACATTCAATCTCAGAAAGAACTGCAAAACTTCTCACAACATAGATAATCAGGAAATTATTGAGATGGTGATAGTACCCACAGGCCATTGCAACTTTGTTGTGAGACCGAACTGTGCTCTGAGCTACAATCTCATTTATGCAGGCTCCATATTTATGTATTTTACTCTAGTCAGTAAGAATAAATATTTAATCTAAGTTTTAGAATCCTTTAAAAAATAACATGTGGCCTCTGGTTTAAGTTTTAAGTTCATGCTTACATGCAGTTAGTTAAAACATTAAGTTCACCAATCATTAAAAAGATAAGAACAATGTGAGAAGTCTTCCTTGATTACTATGCTGTGAGAAAACACTGGACTGAGTTTGGAGACCTGAATCTTTAGTCTTGTCTCTGTTCTTCATTTTCATGATAATTTCTAAAAAACAATTAAAATTTTTCTGGACCCCAATTTATGCATCTGTAATTTAAGAAATTAATAATGATTTTAGCTAGGGTTCCAGTCAACACACAAATAATAATAAAAGTAATATACCCTAGTGTAATTCTAAACATTCACTTATGACAGCATTTTACCAAGATCTTTACATGATTTGGGGAGTACGATAGTATTAATAATTATTTTTCTGATAAGAAAACAACAACAAAAAATTAAATGTCTTGACCTAGGCCACATAGGGAGGAAATGACATAAGATTACTTTGTACCCATTTTGGTCTCAGTTCATCTTAATTAAATGATTCTTTGTGATTGAGATGGGATTATTGAAAGAAGTAACTGGACACAGAATCTAAAGGAATGAGATTCAACAGAACCTTTGTTTTTACCCTAACATTACAACAAATGAGGTTTATGTAAATTTCATTTGGACGTATACTAAATTTTTTCCTTTTCCCCAGTCTCTGAGCTCTTATCTGTGTTTGGATTAAAGAACAAACAAACAAAAAATTGAACAGCAGTGACTATAACAATATACTCTGGGTTGCCAGGAGTGTTTCTCACTTCTAGTCAGGAATTCTATACCCAAAGTCAGTCTCCAGAGGCGGCGTGGCTTCCTCCCTATTCCTGGAGGGGAGAGGACTCCCAGACAAAGTCTGTAAACAACAGGCACTTGCATCTAGACCGCCTGGTACACTATGCACCTGATTTTCTCCACAAAGTTGCTCTCATTCTTGCTGTATGATAAGTGAGAGAAACAGGGTTTTTCTGGGCACATCCACCCTTAATGTACTCTGCAGAATGTCCTGGCCCTAGCACCTCTCTGAGGGAAGATGGGATTAGGGACCTGTGCCTGTTCTGTTGACGATCCCTGATTTGTAGCTTTCTCCAGTGAAGCCTCTTTCATAACACCTGTATGTGGTGTTGTGGAATTTCACTTAAGGCCTGCTGGAAAGGTATAGCAGTACCATGAAGGGGCCACTTGCCACAGTCTGTTTTCATTGATTAAGATTCGTTTGGAATCATTGAGAATTGCCATAAGAATTGCATAATTAAGGATTGCAAATAACTATGCATTCCATTAAGCACAACTTATAGGATGTTTTATGTTCTATGTCCTACTTAATTCTCACAAAAATTTGCCAATCAAGATTTACTTTATTATACAGACAATAAATCTAAGTTTGAGAGAGGTTAAAAGTCATCCTGCAGAAGTGGCAAATAGGGGTCTGGTTGTCAAGTCTTTCAGTTTGCAGCTTAGTTTTCCCTTCACTGCTTTTGAGTACTTCGTAACATCCTTCTAGAAGCAACCTCATTCACTCCAAAATGTTTAAGGCACCCACATAGAGGTTTTTTTTTGCCAGGTGCTAGTGAATTCTAAGACCAATAAGACATCTCCACCAGCTTTCACTCGTGCTAAATAGGGAAGATTCTTTTAAGAGCTATTTATTACAAGCATATTCATTGTGCTTTTCCGTTTGCTCAAAATATAGTGCCTATATTATGAAACATTGACAAACTCTACGGAAGCAAAAGGGTGAGGATGTCTCAGCTGCTGCTCAGCCAGAAGAGCACAGGCATTAGCAGCAGCCAAGTCCCCAAGTATCTGCAAAATATGATAACTCAGTCACAAGCTTGCCCAAGGAAGCAATCTGCAAGAGAGGGTCTGATGTAAATCTTCTCATCTGTGATCTGATTTCAGGTGTGTGCTTTGAAATGGGCTCAGAGGCAGCCACATTTCTCTGATATCTACATTTTTAAACCGTATTCCGACTAATGGTGCCCCTTGGGGTTTAGACACGGATGTTATGCTGGTGCCACAAACTTGATATTTTCAAAGGCAAACTCATCATCTACTTCCCCTCAGATCAATATACCTCAGATCAATATACACACGACCTTGTTTCTAGGTGCCTGACAGTGAGTCGACTCAATCCCTCTCTTTCTTATCTCATAGTCACGATCGTCAAGTCCTGTAACTGACACTTCTCAAAAGTCTCATAGCTATTCCCCATTCTCCATTGGCATGCCACCCTGTACCTCAAGTCCTCCATGCCTTTTGAGGACTGTTGTGACTTCCTCTCTCTGGCTTGTTTTCTCCCCTCCCGTCTCAACCCTCCAGGTTACCTGCGAAGGCTAACATGGTAGATAAACCCAAACTCCTAAGCCCCCCTGAAAAAGGAGGATGCTCTGAGGCTTACACTACCTGCACCATAGCCTTCCTGTGGCTCTCCCTTTCTTCTCCATGTCACATTCCAGATCTATTGCCCTGACAAGTCCCACACTAGCTGTGCTGGTTCTTGCTTCTCCTTCAAGACAGGCATGCAAGGAAGAAAAGAGTGCCAGACAAACTCTTATTTCCTTTCAAGTCTGCTTCTTTCTCTAAGGACTTTCTGGATTCACTACTTCCGTTAGATTTAAATTTTATTCTGTTAGTTTTTGTTGTATCCTGCACAAGTCTTCCTCAGAGCACTGAATGCATTATGCTGTCTATTTGTGTGTTTGTCTTTTCTTCAGCTAGTTTTTGAGCTCCTGAGGACAAAAAGCATGTTCTATTTATCATTGTATCCCTACCGTGCTAGCATGATGTGTGACAAAAATGAATTTCACTTGGATGTATGCACTAGTTCTACCTCTTCCTTAATCCTTCCGGTCTCCTCTGTGGTAAGACAAGCTGAACATGGCAGGGTGCCCTGAGCTGCTTGGACAAGTAGGCAGCTGGGACAGTGTTTCCAATTCTCCTGGTTGGGGAGGTTTCACCCCAAGTCATTTTCCTAGAGAGGTAGGAAATTAATGTTGAATAGACTCGTGGATTGTGGAGAGTCAGCTAGGCTTGTTTAATAACATACAACTAGTAAGAGATGGTGACAAGAACATGGGTCAGAGCAGGAATTCCTCTTCTTGTCACTTACTATTTTATCCCCAGGGCCTAGGAGAATTCCTGGTATATAAACATTCAATCAGTATTTGTTGAATGATTGATTGGATAACTGACTGACTGATAATAAATGACTGACTGATAATAAATGACTGACTGATAATCCAATGACTGATTGGATAACTGACTGACTGATAATAAATGAATGAAAAATTAACTTCAAAGCCCATGCTCTTTTAATTCCATTGCCCTGACTTCTAATTTCTGTACAGTGTGTGATGTGTGTGTGTGTGTGACTGTGTGTATGTAGACAGAGTTATCAAAGAAGTAAAATAAAAAATTGAGCTCATGATCTTTCTTTACAATAAATCACAATTAAAGAATAATGTAAGCTATTTACAAGTGTTCTACACACAGACACACACATTGGAATATATGGCTTTTGTAATTTCTTTTATTTCCTAGAAGAAATATAGCTTTTGGAAAATAATTAGAGATCCTACCTGAAAATCATATGATGTTACATTCTGAGAATCAGTTTGGGTTAACTGACTGAATGAACAGTAGAACAGAATGAATGGTAGAATGAACTGGCAGAGTTGGCTTGTCAATTGTCCTTGTAAATAGCACAATATAGAGGTAGACTGAAGAAAAGTGTGGTTGGTCTTGTGAGAAAATTCATGACCACGGTTGGTTACGTGTGCAGCTGCCCAGAGGCAGGAATGGAGTCTCTCAACATTTGTAACCACGTAGGAAGCAGGCACTGGATTTTGCTTCTGGAAAGAACTGCATTCTTCCACCTCAACTTCTGGGGCCACTTTTTTCACAATGACAGCTGATTTTATCTTTATCTGTTACTGACACAGACCCAGGCAGTCACTGTGAAGCAGGACAAAAGCCAGTGGAGGGATGGAAGAGGCCCAAAATAGATCTCTCTCAAACTGATTTGTATCAGAGTTATAAACAATTCCAGGCAAGAAAGAAAAGTAGACAGCCAAGCAGTTGCTGAAGACAAGAATAAAGAATGATTTTTTTGGTCTTCTTCTCCCTTCCTCTTTTTTCTGGTCTAGATCCTCAAAGCAAACATTGTGGGAGGTGGTCACACTCCCTGTAAGAGAGTGTTTACTGCGGGTGCTCTCAAAGGCATGCACATTGGCTCCCGCCCACGGCCACCCCCTCTGTTGATACACAGCACATTTTATAATGCAAATCACTGTCTACAACATGGTTCATTATTTTCCTCTCTGAATAAAATATGAACACATCAATTATGTGTCAGGCCGTTGCGAAATGCATAGCCTTGTCGCACTGACCTTTTTCTGCTTTTATATTTTTCAGTATGTTCCTGATATTTGTCAGCTGGGCTAGTTCCAAACCTTTCTAACCTGTTGTCTTATTATTTCAGCATTTTTCAAACTTTCTCTTATATCTAATTAGTTTGACCTGAAGGTGCACTGGGGAGGGTGAGCTTGGCTGCGCTGACCGCGGGCACTCACCACTGCTTGTAGTCCGCATCACAGTTGCAGTAGTACTTGGGATCTGTGCAGTTGCGTTCAATGCCACAGGCGCATTTTTGAATTCCGGGCCCGGAGCCTCCCCAGTAGTAGTGCTTCTCGTTAGCTTTGCCAACCCACCACGTGTAAGGGCTTCCATCTACAAGAAAGGGGAAAGGCATGTTTAGAAACAGACCTGGATTGAGTCATTATAATGCCACACTAGCGGCAATATTCTCAGATAGGCTGAACATCACTCAGTCCTCTTAAAAGTACATTTATATCAATAATAGAAATATTTAATAAAGCATACTAGAGCAAGTGACAAGCTCAAGTTTTCCCACAGGAATATGTACCTCTTTCCTTGGAAGACAATTTTACAGTCAAACTTCTGTAATGTGGGAGTGTATTCAATACATTGGATGCTTGGATGGGGTCCGTCCCACAATGAGGGCATTGGTTCTAATAATATGCAACTCACTTTGCGAATGGTCATGCTTTTCTGTGAACTGATAATCGTGAAGATCATAGAATTTTAGAGTTAAGTATAGACTTTCACTGTTTCTAAATGACTGCCTAATTTTATGGGTAAGAAAACCTAGATCTAGAAAAATTAAGCAATGCTTTTACTCACACAGCAGATTAGCCCCCAAACCAGAAGTATGATACTATATTGCACAATGTGTTGTACAATGTTCTTGGTATTATATTGCTTTCTCTTATTACTTAATATACTTATTATATTACTTTCCCTTGGCATAGCATTTCATCATCTATTCATTCATTCTTTCAATCATCAAACATCCATTTTGTTCCATTATGTGTGTCAAATACTAAAAAAAATAAACTCAACATAACAAAAGAAGAAAAAGGTACAGATTAGGATAGAGTTTAACCAGTATTATGAATACACACAAGGGTGGGTAAGAGAAAGGCGGTCATGAAAGATGGTTTCCAGAAGAGGTAAAATTCAACCAATGTCTTGAAGGTTGCATAGGTGTTATCCAGATGAATAAGGACATAAGAGAGGTAAGAACTCCTACACAAAGGAAGCGGAATACAAAATGACAGAAAGGCAAAGTTACATATGAAAATATGTATAGGAGTATATGTATCTGTAGTAGAACATGGCTGAAGAGCTGGATTGAGAGGGTGGCAGTGGTGGTGTAATAGATAGACAGTAGATGATGACCATGTTGCAAATCTGTTCAAATAAGTTCTTCTACACTGGTTTTTCCCTGCTTTTCAATGTTTATTTTCTCCCAAATTAGGAATTTTGAACTATACCCTGAAAATAATGGGAAACTATTAAGGGATTTTAAGCAGGGAATTAGCATGAATAATTAGCATGAATAATTTTTAAGCATAAATTTGCCTTAAAAGATCAACAGTAAGATGAAGGATGCATTTCTATGAAATGGCATCAGGGAGGTCAGATGCAATACTCCTCTGTTAAAACAGAGATAAATAAAATAGTAGTAGAAATGGAGAGGAAGAGAAAACAAGAAAAGTTTCTGGAGGTATAACTGGCTTGGAGCTATTAGGATTTGGGTGGGAGAGAAGGTGGGCAGGCAGCGTCATTGATTCATTCTAGGCTTCTGGTTGGGAGACTAATAGGATGGCACAAGGTAGGGCATAGAGAAGGGAGATCATCAGAAATTTAGGGCATGTCAAAGAAAAGATGATGAGCTTGATGCATAAATCAGCAGTCAGCTGTGGGAGTATGATTCTCAGGAGCATTTTCTGAGCTGAAATCTGTTTTAGGAATCATCAAGGCAAACCAGAACGTATTGGAAACGGGAGAGATACTGTAGGAATCCAACAGTATTTCAAAAACAGAATGAGAGGGAGATGACCAGAGTGGGGTTCAAGGAAGAAGGCAGCCAGAGGGACTGGGGGAAAAAATGAGGGAAGAATTCCCAAAGAATAGAGTGGTCATATTTCATAGTAAAGTCCATTAAGAAGAGGAAGTAGAGAACAGGAAGGCCTTGAGAATAAATGACTCTTCTTTTTCCTGAGTTTCATTTTAGTGTGGTGAGAGCCTGTGACATGAAATCTACCCTCTTAACAGACAACTGTTTCAACTGTAGGTATGGTGTTGTACATCAGATTTCCAGAACTTATTCTTCTGGTTTAACTGAAGTTTATGTGCCCATTGATTAGCGGTTGCAGGTTTTGCTCTTCTCCCAGCCCTCAGTGACCACCACTTCCTCTTAGTTTCTATGATTTGACTATCTAGATACCTCATATAAGTGGAATCATGCAGTGCTTATACGCACACACAGAGGAATACTATTCAAACCTTAAAAAAGAAGAAAATGATGCAATATGTGACAATATGGATGAACCTTGAGAATAATTGACTAAGCAAACAGAGGACTCCTTCAGGCAGTTGGGAAAGAAATAGAATAAAATAAAGAAAGTGCCAGTCAGTAAGCCAAAAAGTCCAGTCAATTAAAATATCCCAGTGTATGGGTCAAAATTCCATTGTACTATCTCATCCATCCTTTCAGGATGCTAAATGTGCACTTGTAGCTCTGTGAGTGCTCAGAGATAAAGATGAGAGAAAAAGTCTTATTAAGTTATCACTTAAACAGTCAAAAAATCTAAACAAATAACTTGACAAAGGGCCATATTGAAATTATGTAAAAAAACACTGTGATACTTTCTCAGACATTCCGATATTTTTTCTTAAGAACGTTTTTGTTAAAAGGTGTGCAATTTAAAGTCACTGAGAATGTGCTGGAACTAAAGTCTACACTTGTAATAAAATGAGCAAGTTCTTTGAATTTGTTAGAGTTATGAGCTGTTTAGGTATTCTCCTCCTTTATGAGGTCTGACAATTAAGTTCGCAAAGTCATCCTAGAAAAAGTGCTACATACCTCTTTACTGAATATCACTACAGTCATCTTTAAAGTGGTGGGAAGCTATGCACCAACACAAGTGCCTGTCCAAGCAATTTTGGAACTCTTTCTGGAATGGTCAACAGAGCTGTTGTCATATAAACCTTGATGTCCTGAATGTCATCAGAATATCTTCCTTTCAATATTTCCTTTTTCCTTCCAGTAAAGAAAAAAGTCATTGCGGGCCAGATCAGGTGAGTAGGGAGGATGTTCCAATATAGTAATCTGTTTATTGGCTAAAAACTCCCTCACAGACAGTGCTGTGTGAGCTTGTGCATTGTCACAATGCAAGAGCTCCTTTGGGACCATTTTTGTACACACTTTCTCATGCCAAGATATTCAGTTAACTCCTAACTGTTTCTCTATTGATGTTTATTTGGTCTGCTATGATTCTCACAGTCAACAGTCAATTTTGACTCACAATTTGATGAATGTTTGCAATGTTTTCACCAGTTCTGCTCGCTACTGGCCAACCAGACATCTCTTCATCAGTGATGCTTTCTCTCCCTCAGAAAAACATTTAGTTCATTTGTACACTGCCGTTTTCTTCATGGCAGTATTGCCATAAACTTGGACTAACATGTCCCTGATTTCACTTCCACTCTTGCCAAATTTAACAAGTAATGTAGTGTTTTTTGTTGCTCTAATTCAAGCTTTGACATTCTCATGATGGCACACAAAAACATGCAACAACAATAATGAACATACTCAGCAAGACACTGCCATGTGTCAACATGAACACAGCTGCAAGAAACTGAGCTACCAAGGTTATAAAACCTTACCAATTGTTTGTACAATGCTGCTAAAGTAAGAGCATGATGGCAAGTTTGTTAACTTGATTGTCAAAACTTGCATTTCTAGATTTTCCAGTGTGTTGACTTAATTTGGAAAAGTTACAGTGTCTCTTGGCATGATTATTTATGGCACCCACATTTTAAAAATATATACAGTGGTATCAAAAATGTATACACATTTTAAGAAAGGGAAAAAACTGTATTAAAAAATTATCAATATATACCAATAACAAAAGATGAATACTAGTCATGTTTACCTTCTGCAATTACAAGAGGTGCTCCAAGTGGTTATCATCAGTGTCCAGACACTTTTGATTATGGCAAAATACTACAGGACTTGTTGTGTGAGACCTTTCAGATCTTCCTTTGTGCACATCACACATAGTACCACGTCTCAAACTTATCAGAAATGCGTGCAAATGTTGGACCTTTTGCAGGTTCTGTTGCATACTCATGCCTTCAATATCGTTGTACTTTCACAGCATTCTCAAATTTCAAAGACCACTTCAAAATGATCTTATGCTCTGCAAATGACAACCATGCTCCCATCATTTTTTTGACAGTCCTGCCTGTCACATGGTGATGCAAACATTCATTTGATTAATGCCATCTTTTGAGCGAACATCATACTACACATTGCTACCATAATTCAATTCAACTTTGAAAAGTAATACATACCTACCATCTCTTAAAATGTGTACACATTTCTTTTGGCACCCCTGGTATTTGACATGATCTGGTAAATGGTCAAGAGGGAGACTTCAATACTCTGTTCCAAAGAAACCCCGAGATAAGGATCCATTCTGAAACTTTGTCTTGTGCCTACCAGTGTCTTATCTCAGCATATGGGGGCTGCGTTTGAGTTTTACATTCATGTTATTTGCTTCTCTTTCCTCTTTTCCATCAGGGTAAAGTATTCAACTTCTGATGCTTCCCAGTGTTGAAACCATGATCAATAATAAACTTATTTTCCTTTGATGTGGTCCAGAGTTTCAAAAATAAGACTTGAAAAATCCCATTTATGGAAGCTCTATCATCTAAACCACCCAAAGATATTTTAAAGTCATTTGACCTGTAAGTTGCACTAAGTCTTTGATGATTCCACCTCTGGTCATGTTACAGGAAGAAGACAAAGGTGGATGGTGCTGTGCTAACCTTGCAAAATGTTTGTGGGGCTTGCCAGACCACAACCTGACCCTGAAAATCTAGGAATGTTACCTAGACTGATTATCATGTTGCATTGTATTTCTTAAGTTGACATGATGCTAAATTCTTTTGCTCATAGGAAATTTTAGTTGACTTCATTGTTTTTAGAAACTAGGGGATACTATAACACTTGGTGGAGGAGAGGAAACAAACCAGACACTTGGAGGACTGGGGATAATTGTTTATCTGGCAGGAAATTCCTTTTACCAGTACCTCAATAACTCACAGAAGAGTATATGTATCAGAACTTCAGCTCAAGTTATTTTTTTCAGGGCTGAT